ACTCAAGTAGAAAGTAAATGCTTTGAGAATGATGATGGCAACAAATGTACAAATGTGCTTGACACAATGGATGGATGGATTGTGATAAGAGTTGTACAAGCCCCAAATAAAATGATTAAATTAAAAAATAAAATAAAGAACATTTCACGATCTATCTGGAAGTACAATACTGTCTGTGCTAGGATAATATTATATACCTATAAAAAAGACCAGTTAATACAATTATTATTCAAGTTTACACATCAACCACTAAAGCTAGTGATGAAAAATTAAAGAAATCGACTAGCTTCTTCCATCTGGAATTCATCAAACATGCTATGAAGATGCACTGCTGCTTCCTGGTGATTAGAATGGGAAAGTTGCAAGCAAAGAAGAAGGATCGATATCCGGAAAACATAGGGAGGGTGATATAAATCAAGGTGGATTTCACATGATAGGATTTCTGCAAGCCCAGAAACTTCTTCTTTGCAAATATATATTTTTAATAACATAAACTCTGTCTATACAGGTTAACTTCACCAAATGAAGTACACAAGAGTGAAATTGACTACAGCTGTGAGAAGAGAATGAGCCTGTGGTGGTGTAGTGGGTTCAGCATTGGGCTGCTGACTAGAAGGTCAGCAGTTCAAAACTACCAGCAGCTCCACAGCAGATAGATGAGGCTTTCTACTCCTATAAAAATTTACAATGCCAGAAATCCCAAATGGCAGCTCTCTCTGGTCCTATAGCATCACTGTGAGTCCTAATCCATTTGATGGCAGGGAATTTGTTTTGTTTGTTTTTTTGTTTTGCGTGAGAAGAAGAGATAGTGGGGAAGTTCAATATTATCAGCCAAAACAAAGCTAGAAACTGAATGTGGAACAGACTACCAACTATTCATATGCAAGTTCAGGTTGAAACTAAAGAAAATTGAAACAAGTCTGTGAGAGTCAGAATATACACTTGCGTATGTCCCATTGAATTTAGAGCCCATATAAAGAACAGATTTGATGCATTGAACACTAATGACTGAAGGTCTGATGAGTTGTGGAGTGACATCAAGAACATTATTTATGAAAAAAGCAAAAAGTCATTCAAAAGACAGGAAAGAAGAAAAAGACTAGAATGAACATCAGAAGAGACTCTGACACTTGCTCTTGAACACAGGGTAACTAAAGCACATGGTAAAATGATGAAGTAAAAGAGCTGAACAGAAAATTTCAAACGGCAGCCCATGGAGACAAAGCAAAGTATTTTAATGAAATGTGCAAAGATCTGGACTTTCAAAGTCATAAGGGAAGAACGTGCTCAGCATATCTCACACTGAAAGAACTGGATGGGAAGTGAAAACTCAAACCTCGAGATGCAACATTGACAGAGTTTATGAGGAGAATACTGAATAATATTGGAAGCATCGAAAGTAGATGGGAGGAAGAAGAGAGTCACTGTGCCAAACAAAATGGGTGGTGGTGGTGGAGGAGGGGGTAGCAAAAAGAATTGGTGGGAATTCGATTATTTTAAGATGTAGACTATGATTAAGAACCTATGATATTGAACGAAGGAATCAAAACTGCATGGAAGGCCTTAGCAAAAGACTGGACCCCAAGAATAGACAAAAAAATAATTTGAATGTTTCAATAAACCAGTGTAGATCTGGAAGCACTCATGAGTCTATACATAGAAATCTGGAAGACAGATAAGCATCCAACAGATTGGAAGAGATCCATACTCGTGCCCACTCTGTAGGAAGATGATACCCCAAATGTGGAAATTATCAAACATTATGAGTAACATCACTTCAATTGCTGATGATAATTCAAAACCAGTTGCAGCAATACATCAACAGAGAGCTTCCAGAAATTCAAACTGGATTCAGAAGAGGATGTGGAACAAGGATGTTGATATAAAATGGATCTTGGATGAAAGCAAAAGATACCAAAAGATATTTATTTATGTTTCATTGAGTATGCAAAGGCATTTCAGCTACGTGGGTCATAAAAACCATGGATAACATTGAGAAGAATGAGAATTTCAAGACACGTAATTGTGTTTATGCAGAACCTGTACACAGAGCAAGATGCAGTGGTCAAACCGAACAAAGGGATCCTGCATGGTTTAAATTCATGAAAAAGCGTTCCGTTTTATTATCCCACCAGATTTATTCAATCTTTATGCTGAACAAATTATCCAAGAACCCGGATCATATGAAGCAGAACATGGCATCAGATGGTAGGAAGGGCTGGTGAAGCTGCAATATGCAGAGGACAGCACTTCTTGCTGAAAGCCAAGAGGATTTGGACTTACTGATGCGGATCAAAGTCAATAGCTTTAGTATGGATTACAACCCAGTGTAAAGAAAATCAAAATCCTCATAGCAATGGACACCCTCGTGATAAATGGAGAAAAGACTGACCTTGCTGAAGATTTAGTTTTACTTGGATCCACAATCAATACACATGGAAGCAGCCCTCAAGAAATGAAGTAACACATTGCATTGAACCAACCTGTTGTATGCGGCCTCCTTAAACTGCTGAAGAGCCAAGATGACACTTGGTGATCTCAGGGTCCCCCGTGGTAGTTAGATTTTATGTCAACTCTGGACCCACTGGAATCCTCCAAAGGCTGACTTATGGTTGATGGAATGTTGTCTGAGAGCTTGCTGAGCGTGTTGACCAGAACATTTAGACATGATTCCACCATGCAATCTGAACTTCTTCCCCCCAGGGCAACCAAATTGAGAAGCCAGATAGAAGCTGCACCTGAAACTTAAAAGTCACATGACATCATTTCTCTTCCATTCCATTGGTAGGAACGGTCCCAAGCCTCTGCCCAATATTAAAGAGAGGGAAATCGGCCTGAGTTGGCAGTGAGAGAAGTGACAGTCACATTGTAAGAAGCACTCTGAAAGGGCTAAATACATAGATGTGGTGATCTTTGGAAAATTCAATAGGACACCGATATACATGAGGTAGTCTATGCAGTGTGATTGGGATAAAGAGCGAGAGCATTCCGGGACCCAGGAGTCTGTGACTCAAGGAGGCCTGGTGGTGTAGTGGGATAATCTTTGGATCGCTAATCACAAGGTCAGCAATTGAACATTCAGTCATTCCAAGGGAGAGACTTTCTGCTTTCTGCTCCTGAGAAACCCACAGAAGCAATTCGACACTGTCCCATAGGGTTGCTATGAGTTTGAATACATTCAATGGCAATTAGTTTGGTTTTGAGTGAGTCCATGATTCTGATTTTATATGTTTCTATTGTGAACGAATCATAAATTTACCAAAGAGTCATCAATTCCCCTTTAAGTAATTATCTCCCATATCTGCCAACATATCGTCACCTGTGTGGATGCTTCCTTGGCTCACTCAGACACTGGGCCGTCCTCCCTCATGGACATCCTTCTAATTCTTTCCGAGCTGTCATGCATCCCACTTCATTTGGCCATTCTTCCATGTGGAGTTCTTCTTCAATTGCCGGAGCTCTGATTCTTATACAGGACTGCCCCCTGCATAACCTGAACAATGACTCTCCCCAAATGTTCACATTTTAATCCCTGGAATTCAAGTGGCTGTCCACCTTACCTCTTCCAAGTGCTTCCTCAAACTTCACTTCTTCCATGAGTCCTACTCTGATCCTCCTTTTTAAACTTCTAACCCTCCCACCTCTCTCATATACAATCTTCCCAATACCCCATCCTGCCTACTTTGACTCTTTCACCAATAGTATCCCTCACTGCCTACCATGTCAGGCAAATCACAGTCAGATCATGTGTTTTGCTTATTGCTTGTACACTTCTTGCTAAATTAGGAATTCTCTTCTACTTTGTTTACGAAGGTATGTCAAGTACCTGAAATAACACCAGGCACACAGTGGATGATCCAGTAACTATTTCTCAAGTGGATTGAACTCTATCTACAATATAATGAGGAAGGCATAGTTCCTGCTGTTTTAGATGAGGAAACTGAAGCTTAGAGAACATGAATAATTCATTCAAGGTCAAATTTATTGTAATAGCAGAACCCAGCAGATTCTAAACCAGGCCTTTCCGTCCAGAGCTCATACCGATCGTAAGGGTATAAGAGAAAGTGTGTTCAAAGTGAGCAAGCAGAGGGGAAGGGCAAGATGAAGGTGGACTGGGGACTTGGAGGAAGGACTAGAAATAACGTCTCACGTGCCAAGATAAGTAGATTGGACTGGTTTTTATAGCAGAAACTCTAAAGCAAATGATGACACAATTAAACCTGTATCGTGGAAAGAAAATTCAGACAACCGCCAACTAATACAGTGCATATAAAACCAGGTGCCAATGGAGAGCAACACTGCTTCCAATGGGACTGAACCCCATTTTGAAATTTCCATGGGAAAAATGACTCTGCTCCAACTAATTCATTATATACGCCACTCTCCCCCGTCCTCCCTTAGAAATACTCTGAGACAGTATAAGTAGTTGCAAAATTATACTTTATTTATATATATTAAATAGTGAGCTCTTTTCCAATCAGGGTACATACACAGTGTTCGACAATATTCTAAAGCACCAGGCATGAAGTCAAGTGAGATGCTATGTTCTTATCAGGTCATGTCACCTGACACATTCAAGTGCTGTCTGACATACCATTAAAGCAGTGGCTCAGAATGCAGACAGGTGCCAACTAGCAGCGACTACATGGTACCATGTGTAAGTGTTCATCGATTCATCAGTTGACATAAATGGACAACCCACAGGGTCTTGCTCAAGTCTGCTACCTAGTCAGCCCCTGAGATAAAAAGCCTTATAATCACTAGTCTTACACAGTCAGTCAGATAAAAAAGGGTCATGTGGAATCATCACAGGATACAGGAATTAGAAATAGTATATATATATATATTAATATTCATTTTCATCACATAAAAGTTGCTATTATAAATACATCTTGGATTAATTAGTCTAACCAGGTATCCCCCATATAAATAGTTTAAAATATTAAATATGAATAAATAGATTTAGATTTTAAAATTCAAATATTACAAGCAGGTGAGCATTATTCTGATGCTCTCCGGTATGCTGATGCTCTCCGGGCTTGGAACAGACCCTGGCTCCTCTTGCGCTTCCTTAGTGTGAAAGATGGGGGTGAAAGGTCATTTATGACTCTGAGGAGCTCATTTATCGCTTTGCGCTGAACTTTCTGATCATTCACCTGTTGGGAGAAAAACAAACAAACAGCAAAATTAGTTTCAGGCATCAGGATGCTCTGCTGTTCGTGTGCATATCATGCTCAGTGAAAATGGAAGCATTCCTCAAGATTAAAAACAAGTGACTCTCAAGAGCAATATGTTACTTTAATATACTGTGTTCTTTTCTTAAGCAGTTAAGACTACAAACATAATTAAATTGATTATTATTCTATAATATGAAGGGCCACATTACATATCCTTGGATTTCCTGCCATGAAATTCTCATAATGAAAAGAATCCTGATGTAGAGTGGAGGAAATGTAGACTTGAATCTTGTGTGCACGAGAACTCTGTGGCTTGGAACCAGTCACTTAACCTGTCTAAAACTTGACTGAATAGCGAGATTGTACTGAATGACCCTTCACTTCTCTGCGAGTTCTATCACATTATGCTTCCAGTACAAAGTACACTGTACTGTTTGGGTCTCAGTCGGATGTATTCCAGAACAATCAAGAGACCCAAGTGCATGAGTAGGAAAAGGCCTGGAGGTTTTGCCTTCATTAAATTACCTAGCCCTTCTGATATGCACCGAAGTTTCAGCACCATGGCGATAGGTTCAGTACTGAGTAAACACCAAGTCTAAGATAGTTCAAAATGATACATTGTAATTTCTCCATATTTACATCAATCTCAGCATTACTATGACATGATTAAAAATCATCAGATGCATAGGATTTATATATAATAATCAATATTCACTGATCTTTAGCATTTAAAATTGGGAATTACAGCCAAAATCTCCTGTAGCCTGCACTCTATGCCCATATATTAAACTGTTTGGAATTCCTCCCTCTAGTCAATGGGACCATTTAAGACTCATAGATCCCAAACTTTTTAAGGCTACTGCTGCCTTAAAAAAGTTCTCAGTTGCTGCTTTTGCGGCCCCCTGGATCATCGAAGTACCCCAGGGTGTGGTATCGCCCACTTTGGGAAGTACTATTTAGGTGAGCCCTTGCCTAAAACAAACTGAGAATTACATGCTTTAGTTTTAGCTCTGATAATAACTTCTTTCCAGTTTTAGAAATGCTGTGGTTACCTTGCTACATTTCTGAGAATGACTAAGGGGTCTAGATTGCAGCAACTAATTGTAAAAAGGACATCACATGTCTAAAATATGCTAGTAATTACATCAAAGAGGACAACTGTCAAGAGTTCATTTCCAATCATGAAGCCAGGGTCCTGGAACTTCCTTAAGGATGGGGAGATCAACAGATGCTTTCCCTTGCAAAGCCTAATCAGAACATGCTAGACTTCCCTGCGGACTGTGTGTTCGCAAGTGGAACATTTCAAAGCAACCCTAAGAAAACTGGACTCCACACCAAACCAGGGACATCACTGAGTTAGAACAGGTGTCTTCTGGACCTCAAGACTGGTCATGGGAAATCTGCTGAGCGTTGGACAGCATTGTATCAGTGGAAAGCAGTTGCTTTGTAATGTTTCCAAGACATCTTCTTAGGACCTGCAGTGCCTAGAGACCTCCTGAAAAGCAAGCACTCATTCTCGTTCCTGGGGTCATACAGAGGAGGGAGAAGGAGACCCAGGTAGGGCAAAAAGTGGGAACAAATCATGGGAGAACATGTCCTAACAGGACCCCTATCATTATAGTTCAAGCGCATTTATATCAAAGTCAAACTTCAATGAATCTGGAGACCTTTGTCTCAGAGATAAAATTTTGGAAAAACAAATCTGTCTTTGTGCTTCAATGTTATCATTCAATATCTGATACTCTTAATGTAAAAGAATCAACGTTTTGGGAGTCTAAGGTTTTCATTAGTTGAAATTTCCTTTAAAAACTTGATAAAACAATGCTATCATAAGGTATATTACCTTTTTCTCCCCTTCTAAAGTAAACAAACCACAAAGGCCTCACCTCTAATTACCGTGTATACTCGTGTATAAGTCGAATTTTTCAGCACATTTTTAATGTAGCTTTTGTGGTAGAATTAGATGCCTCAGCTGACATTTGGGTTGGCTTATAGTCCAGTATATACCGTAGGCTGCACTGACTGAGAGGCTGACCAAAGCCTGGCTGTGGGACGCTCCCTCGTGCCTTCTCAAAGGCCTTCTATGGCAAAACGGTTGCCTTCGAGTGTGTTCTGACACCTGGAGGCCCTATCGAACAAAGCAGAACTGTCCCAGAGGATTCCCAACCTCTATAAAAGCAGACTACCACATCTTTCTCCCATAGAGTAGCTGGCAGTTTGAACCACCAACCTTGCTATTATCAACAGAGGGTTTAACCACTGTGCCACCAGGGCTCCATTCCAAGATGTTCGCTCTCTCCTATCTTATTCTTTCTCTGCTTAACAGTTTGAAGTTGTAGGGCCAAAGACAGCACGTTGTGATCAGAAATTATGTAGTGAGACTGAGGTGCTCCTTTTAAGATGAGAAAACGGAGCCCTCACCAGCAAGTGATTCATCTGAGGTCTCGCACGTCCTTGGTGGCAGAGCTGGTGGGAGAGCACCCATCTTCTCACCCCCTCCTACTGCTCTTTCCACTAACACATGTTACCTCCCATACAAAACAGGAGAGTTTCCATCACATATACAAGGGACAAAGAAAGAATGTGCTCTCAATTTAAAAGACAAAAACCAGTTGCTGTAGTGTTAACACCAATTCAGACGGGGCCCCATCTGTGTCAGAGTAGAACTAGACGTCCTAGCGCCTTCACTGGCTGAGTCTTTAGAACTAGGTGACACATGCCTCTGGGTGGACTCCACGCCTTTCAGGGGACAGCCGGGACATTAACCGTTCCAACCAACAAGGAAGTCCTCAATATTCTCCTGTATTTCTTCCACCTCTTCCTCTCACCCCTGGGTGTGTCCATCGACCTGTCCTTACACAATACTCCCAGTGCCTGTATGTTTTCCAGATAACAAATGTATAGGATCCCCATACTGTCTTTGCAAAGAAGCCCAAAGCATAGCTGGAATAAGTTAGGAGGAGTTTCTGCCACGGCTCCACTTCATTGCTTTCCTCATGCAGCTGAGGTCTACTTTGGGGGAGCTAAAGAGAAGAGCCACGTACCGGAGTTTTAATCAGCCTTAGGAAGTCTTCTTGTTTGGTGCTGCTGCTATTGAAGAAATTCACAAAGAGCTCTTCCTTGATGGTTTTCATGCTCTTTCGGATGAGCTGGTTGCCTTCAAAGTGTTCAAACATTTTCAAGTAGAAGGACACGATCTGGCTCTGAATCACCTTTCTGTCAGTCTCCTTGGGAGAAAAGAACACAGAGAGGCTGCTGTGCATTCACCCCAGAAAATGAGCCCCAGGACAGTCAGCCCAGTGGACAAGTGCACCTTACATGGCTCCAGTTCCTCAAGATGTCCGAGAAAAGAGGCTTCCCATCAGCGACGTCCGCATCACTTGCGTTCTACAAAAACAAGAGAGCGAGAGAGAAGTTGTGAGAGAAAATAGCTTATGGTTTGTCTCAAAATGGTCCTACAAACATACTTAAAGTTTTACTGAACTCTGATACTGACAATATTTGCCGGTTTTCTCATCAACCTTTCTGTTCTGTTCTGAAGCTGACTTTTCCCAGTGGCTATTATGGTATATAGAATCCCAAATGACCTTCGCTTTTCACTTCTTTATTTGCTAGGGAAATCCTTAAATGACCATGTCACAAATGAACTGAATAAGACAGGTAATACTTAAACTGTCCCAAATAACTATAATGACCGAAGGAGAGTTTCCAAGCCTAGTTCAAACAAAACAACAACAACAACAGCAAAGCTATTGTACCAGAAAACACTGCCCCCCCCCATGGTATAGGCCTCTACCCTATCAATGTGTGCCCTTCAACACAATATTATGTCGATTTTACAAGATCTAGATATAGATAGATATCAATATACTGTATACTTAATTTTACTTGGCAAGTATAAAATGGTTTGTGAATGTGTGAATAACTTAGAACAGCTATTACTATAATTGTGAAACTTGGGACAAATAATGTGCAAAAACTATTCCCATTAGCTGCAAATAAAATTGAAAAACAAATTCATTTAAAAAATTCTTTAAAACTATAAGCCAAAATGATAACTGTCATAAAATCTCAGCAAGTGACTGAGCTAAGGAATAATTCACCAAAATTAAAGTGAGAGAGAGTAGTAGAATTTTGAAATCACTTTCAGAAGAAAACCAGCTATCTTAGGGATTTTTTTTTCTTTAAGCCACTGTTTTAAGAACCTCAGATTCTTGTACTTTAATTGATTATTGGCTCCTTATACTATTCTCAACTATTAACTTTGAACTTTTATGCCCCTTTCATAGTTATAAATAGATAGCTTGTTGTTGTCTAGTATCCAACTCATTGCAACTCCATGGGACAACGTAAAGCTGTCCCCTAGGGTTTTGGGCATGTGGAAGCTTTCTGGCAGCAGACTGCCGCATCATTCCCACACAAAGCTGCTAGGGGGGCGGGGGCAGGGTGTTGTAGCACCAAGCTCTTGGTGAGCCACCCAGTCCATTAGCCACTGATAGCCATTTCACCAAGATGTTAATCACTGTATTTATCACAGTCCATGAATGAGATCTCATCACAAAATTACTAGCATGTTACTATGATTTATTCCCATATCATGCCTATCTGCGGGAAGAGGCAAGAATCCCCTCTCCATTTCTAGAGCAAATTGAACAGAGGGTTAAAAACAATGGCTATCTAGATTATCCAGCCTACTGATAACACAGATATAGCTTCAAATCTAAGGTTAGTCATTTTCAGCCACAAGCCAGTGGCTTAATTAAATTATTATTGTTAAATTATTAAAAGGTCATACTTACAAAATATTCTTTTAGGTTCTGAATCTCTCTCAAAACGGTGGCCTGGCCAAAACAGCCAGAAGACCCCAAAATGATGCAAAGCTGAAGAGCTAAGAGAGAACTTGTATAATTCATCATTTCAGAAGCAAGTTAGCCCGAAGTTGCTGGAATTAGTAGTTCCTGTATGAAGTTGATCAGACCAAGGGAGATTTGGGTGCTCTTGCCTAAAAGCAGGTTTGCTGGTGATCAAAGCAGTGTACTCTATCTCCTTCAGCGAATGGTATTTATACCTGATTGAAGTCTCATCAGGATTACGTATTTTTCACAAGTTTTTTTTAACATGAGATGGTGACAGATAGGTGGTGATGCTAGTTAGTTTGCATTATTAAGCATGGTTTGTGGCATTTTGGTGGGGTAGTTAGAATTTCCTACCAACTCCCTGCATCCTCTGGGGAGGAAATGGACCCATTAGATCCACCTGTGCCACTCTTGCGGGATCCTTTGAAAGCACATTTACTTCACATCATTCAGGGACTGGAATTTTTTTTTTTTTTTGTAGCTCTCCCCTTTGCCTTTGTAAAACGTTGACACTTCATCCTCATATTACATTGATCATTTGTTTGTGGTTGGGAACCAGTGGAAAGGAAATTCTAAGGCTCTCAAACCTTTACAAAAGGAACAACTCTTAAAAAGTTTTCTTGCAAATTAACAGAAAGCAAGGACAGAATGTGGTTACAAGATGAATATGGGAAAAGTTCTTCATCGGAGTCAGCCAGTAAAATAGCTACCTCATATTTCCAATTGCTCCAGACCAACACTGCCCAACAGAAATTTAATGTACTAAGCCATATAGGTCATTGTAAATCATCTGGGGTGCCCCAGTAACAAAAGTGGAAGCAGAAAAATAAGTGGTAAAACATAAACTATATTGTATATAACCCAATACATCGAAAAAATGATCATTTAAACATTTGTCAGCATACAAAATTACTGAGCAGATATTTTATATTCTGTTTTTCTCATAGCCACGGTCATCAAGTCAATTTGGAATCACAATGATTCTATATAATCACTGACTTCCTTGGCGTAGCTGATGGGTTTGACCTATTGATCTTGACCCTTTGGTTAGCTGCCCAACACTTACCCGCCATCACTACCAAAATCAGAATCAAACCAAACCTCACTGCCATCGATGCCAACTCATAGTGGCCCTAGAGGCCAGGGTAAAACAGCCCCCATGATGTTCCAAGGTGGTAACTCTTCATGGGAGGAGAAAGCTGGGTCTGTGACCCTCTTGACCTTTGGGATCCCAGACCCACATATAACCACTCCACCGCCAGGGCTTCTTCTTCCCAGCTCCTGGAAACCCATTGTCTATTTTGCACCTACAGCACATTCTTTTGGATTCACTAGGTTTCAAATAAAAGGTGCCCTGGTGTGCAATGTCTTAAACATGGGACTCATAACCAGAAGGTTTTGTTGGTCAGTCGAACCCGTCGACGGCTCTAAGGTAGAAAGAGGAAGCTGCTTCCATAAAGATTTGTAGCCCCAGAAACTCAGGGCAGCAGTTCTACTCAGCCCTGCAGCGTCACTTGGAGTTGGAATCTAGCCCATAGCAGTGGGTTGTGCTGTTTCATTTTGAAGTTTTATATTTCAAGTGCTCAATAACTCCAAGTGACTAGTGACTCCCGTATTTAAGACTCTAGTTCTGGCTATGGTATAAGAGATCTAGTTTATCAATTATTTAAAAGTAATAATACAGAATCTTTTGGTGTTTGTTTGTTTTTTAACTTTTCATTTATTTTCCATTCTGATCACTGGGTAACTTCTTCCCGTGGTAACGTCTTCATGAAGTCCACTACTTTGGGATTGCATGGCAATCCCTAAATTCTAGTCCACTCTGCTTTGCTACCTGGACTTTCTATTCTAGATCATCATGATTATCAGAGAAGAGACTTGAATCTTGGGTCCTCTATCTAGCTACGTGATGTTAACTACGATCATATAGCTAATGCACATAGGAGTATGTTTCTTAACTTTGGTATGATTTGTTTGTCCTTATCTGTAAAATAAGTCACCAAGACATATCATGGACTTGGTGTTATCTAGCAACCACAATAGCGTCAATGTTGGCCTTGCTTGTTGTAAGCACTCAATAAATGTTACCTGTTGTTATTCAATCCTGGTGTCCCACAGGAGGGGCCACAATTCTAGCACTGACCCTCCAAGGCTTCCTGGCCAAGGCATTCCATATGCAGCCACTACCTACATGTCAGTGATGACTTGCATGTTATTAAGGTACTGAAAAAGATTCTGTGGAGCTTCCGTAGTAAGACCAAAAATCTAATAAAAGCCAATAAAAATCAGCCAATTAAAACTCTATAGATCACATTGGAACATTGTTCAATCCATAACTGATTCGAGACAGATGGCACAGTACCAGGCAGTGTTTTGATTTGTTGAATATGGGATCACCGTGAGCTGAGATCAGCTGAAGGGCTGCTAACAATAGCATTGTTATTCAGATATGCTGGACTAGGAGTCCTCCCTTTAGAAATACCCGAAGCTCTCTTCAGGCTGTTTCTTTAGACTTGAGTTTCCTCCGTCCTCATTAGCTCCCCTCCTAGTGGCAGTTGTCCTTCTGAGCTATCTTAAAAACTAGCCTTAAAACCATCATACCCATGAGCTAGATCTCTCATCATTTTCCTATTTAAAATTAATCTCATCTCTTCTCTACCAACCTAGCACTTGATACCTCTCTTTGAGTCTTGCTCCTACAATCTCATATTAAAGTTATCTATCCATATGTCTTTACACAGGTGAGATTAGGTGTTTAAAATCAGAAATTCTCCTTGATCACTTTTATAACACCCTCCTTTTGCCTAAAACATCTTAGCATGGAAACTTGCCTATAGGCAGCACTGAACCAATGATATTTGAATGATTAAGGATCTACTTTGAGTTATTCATTAATTTCTAATCCAAATGTCAATCAGTCTAGCCTATTAGAAACCATTTCTAATTAAGCAGAATTTAGGATCAATGTTGGAAATGTGATGCTGTAGCTCTTTATCCGATACCTGATGATTGGGACAATGACAGGCATTATTTTATGACTATGACATGTGAAAAGGGGACTATGCTTTGTAAGTATACTGTTGCTGCCATGACTACCTGGGGACCCAGGCACAGTAGGTTGAAATGCTGTCTGGTTTTGCATCATCATCATCATGTTGCAGATAAGACTGTTATCATCTATAAGATTTTCAATGGATGATTTTCAGGAGTAGATCACCAGGCCTTTCTTTCTAGTCCCTCTTAGTCTGAAAGCTCTGTTGAAACCTGCTCAGTTTAATTTCAACATGCAAGCCACCACTAAAAGATGGGTGGTGGCAATACATGGGCCCAGTGGCTGGAATAGATCCTGATTTTCACACATGGAAGCTACAAATTCTACCACTGAGCCACCAATAATCTTACTTCAACGAATGTGTGTCATATGGAACAATGTAATTTCCACACTCCTCACTTCCTTCACATGAGACTATGACCATCAAAGAGACCTGGTGGTGCTCTCAGTTGAGTGTTGGGCTCTTAACCACAAGGTTGGCAGTTCAAACTCCCCAGCTACTCTTTGGGAGAAAGATAAAGCTATTTGTGCCTATAAAGGTTTACAGTCTCAGAAACCTTATATGAATCAGAATCAACTCTTAAGATGAGTGAATTTGGGGGTAAGTGATCCCTCAGATACATTTTGATCTTTAATACACTTTGAATATATATCTGTATTCATCATATCCAGTAAAGTCCAGGAACGTTAGAACCTGGATACAGCAGCAACCTGTCAGGGAAGGAAACATAAATATTTTCCAATAAAACAAGTGATATAACTGTGGTAAGATTGTGCCTTGTCAAGGGTGGAGCATTTTGGAGACCTAGAAAAACAACGCAGTCCCCTGAGTTCTTGCCCTCACAAATTCAATAGATAGATTAGTAGATTGTGACCCTACAGGACTGAGTAAAACTGCCCCATAGGGCTTCCATTACTGCAGTCCTTTTGAAAGCAGACTGCCACATTTTCCTTCCACAGAGCAGTCAGAGGGTTCGAAACCCAGACCATTTGGTTAGCGGCCAAGCATTTAACCACTGTGGCACCAGGGTCCTTACATAGCTGTACAAGATCAAAATCTATATTTTGACTATATATATATTCTTGTATGTCTATGCATCTGCACAATATCAAAAAATATCTGTGGGACCACAGGACCATCTAATTAAATGAGGAGTGTAGAAATCATGTTGCTGCATACAAAGCACTATGAGGGAAGATTACAGTACAGAGAATATGCTTACAGGGTAATCCACGAGACTCCCATATCAAAGTCACAAGACTTACTGCAGGCACCCAGTACCTTCTAGGAAAAGAATGAGCAGTCTGGGCTACCGAAAGAAATATTTTCAGCTTTCTGGAAAGGAACTAAAATGAGTTCTGCCTTATCCCTGGACTTATCCATGAGATGATGCTACTGGGAGTAAGGAGTTAAGAATAGCTAATCCATAATAGGAAATGATGCCTATTCAAAATTACAGATACACATTATACATATGTTTACAATAGGTCACATATTTAGGATTCATAACTTCAAGACTAAAATCTCAACCCTTATAACTCTCAATGGTATTACAAAAAGCACAGCACTATGGAATCATGGAGATTACCTATGGACTACCCCTTACTTTTTAGTTTTAGATTAGTAAATCAAGGCCCAGAGAAATTGAGTGTTATCTCTAAGGTCATTCAATGGAGTCTCGAATAGAGGTGAGTCTAGAACCAAAGACCCTCTTCTAACCTACATGTTCCCCAATCAATATCCATTAAGTGTATTCGATGAACCTGTAACCATGCCCGAAGCCATGGTGGCACAACAAGTAAGAATTTGACTGTATCCTAACGGTTCAAATCTCCCCAGCAAGTGAAAGACGTGGATATTCACCTGATAGGATCCCATATAACAGTTCTACTCAATTCACTGGGCCACTATGAGTTGAAAATCAACTCAATGGCACCTCACAATGTAGCATAACTATGCAGATCATGCGAATCCAAATAAGAACACACTGGACTCTGATTTGGG